CATCAGCATCATCATCATCATCACCATCAGCATCATCATCATCATCATCATCATCATCATCATCATCATCATCATCATCATCATCATCATCATCATCCTAATCATCATCATCAGCAGCAGCAGCATCAGCATCATCAGCATCATCATCATCATCATCATCGTCATCATCATTCTCATCCTCATCCTCATCACCACCATCAGCATCATCATCATCACCATCAGCATCAGCATCACCATCATCCTCCTCATCATCCTCATCCTCATCCTATCCTCATCCTCATCCTCCTCCTCCTCCAGCTCCTCCTCCTCCTTGTTCGCCTCCGCCCCCTCCTCCTCCTCCGCTCGCGCTCGCTCTCTGGCCTGGAGGCCCCCGACCAGCGGCAGCGGGAGCAGGGGCAGGATGGGGAGCCGCAGGAGGCGGAGAGGCGGGGGCGGGCACCGGCGGAGGGAGGCCTCAGGGCGGCCTGGTACCTGAAGGCGGCCTCTGCCAGGTACTCCCGCGAGCCGCCCAGCCCCACCCGACCACGCATCAGCTCCACGTGCGCGTGAGAGGAGACGTCGTTCGCGAACTGCAGGAGCTTGACTTCGTCGGGGCTCTTCACCACTCGCGCTTCCGCAAGCTCCTCCCCGGAGAGGGCTGGCGGATGGAGGAGAAAGAACTATGCACACACACACACACACACCGAGTCTGGCCGGGCCCATCCTGAGCCCAGGATCGGTGCATACGCCCTCCTACCTTGGCCCAGAAGGCAAACAGTCGGGGCGTTGACCTAAGGAACCCTAAATAAGGAACGAGGCCCCTTTTTTCCATAAGTTAACCTTCGACTTCCGATCGAAAACCTGAGGAAAACCCGAGGCAAGCCGCGAAACACCTAAGGAACGCGGAGCCCCTCCCCAACGAAGAGGGTTCCTTCCTCAGGGCCCCGACTGTATGCACCGAGCCTGGGTCATGGATGGGCCTTGCCAGGATCGGTGCACGTGCACAGCTCTCTTCGCCCGAGCAGAGGGGCGTGAGACGAGCAGGTGCTGGCTGGCTCGCGCCCGCCGCTCCGCCCTGGCGAGACCAGAGCACAGGGGAAGGGCAGAGGCTCGGGAAAGGGGGGAGGAGGGGGGAGGAGGGAGGAGGGAGGAGGGAGGGGGGAGGAGGGAGGAGGGAGGAGGGAGGAGGGAGGAGGAGAGAGGAGGGAGGAGGAGGAGGAGGAGGAGGAGGAGGAGGAGGAGGACGAGGAGGACGAGGCGGGGAGACATCAAGGAAACGACGACCCAAGGTGGCACCAGAGAGGGGTGGCCTGCAAGCACCGGGGCCCGAGGGACATGGGCCCGGCACCTCGGGGTTCTCCAAGGACCGGGCTTGCCCTCCGGAACTGCTATGGCGGCGCGCACAAGGGGGTGGAGGGAGGGGAGAGGGCTTCTTAGAAGGAGGCGGCTTCTTAGAAAGCGCCGGCCTCACATCTATGGACAAGGCCCGAGCCTTCTGAGAAGCAGGGGTGCTTCTAAGAAGCCCTCCCCCCTCCCCCCACCCCCCTCTGCGCGTGGCTGACTGCTCTTGATGGCCCCGGGGCCCGCAACCCGGCCTGGGGGGGGCCGAACGCAGCAGAACGAGTCAGGATCCCTCACCCTCGGGATCCCCATAGATCCGACGTCGTGTTTTTTTTTCAATACGGGGTCCCCGGAAGTCTCGACCCGTTCCCCAGGACCGGTGTTTCATCCCGATTCGCTTTGTTGACGGTCCCCGGGCCTGGCAAGGGCCCCTGGAGGCCGAAACCGCATTGATTTTTCCAGTACGTTGGATCTCTGGGACCCCTGCCCCTCCGGATCCCTTTGCTTTTCACCTCGTGGCGAAGGGGGTCTCTGCTCCCGCACCCGCGGGCTCCTCCCAGAGCGCCCGGGAGCCCTCGGTGCTCACAGGGACCTCGAAGCCCGCCAGGTCCGGCCTCTTGGGCTGCAGGCCAGAGTCCCGGTTGGTCCCGTCCAGCACCAGCAGGCACGAGGCCTCCAGCTCCGAGGACACCACCTTCGCAGCCTCCGCGGGACTAGCAAAAAAAAACCTCCGCCCACCCATCCAGGGAAGCACGCCTCCTCCCCTCTCAGGGGAGGCACTGCCCGTCGCACGCCAGATGTGGGGCTACCTTTGCCGATGCCCTGTGCCTCACAAGAGAGCCATAAGCTCGCAAAACAGTTCACAACATAAACAGGCTGTCTGGCAACAGAGAAAACATTGGGGGCGCAAAAACGCTGAACACGGGGAAGCTTCAACGGCACGCTGTAAATCGCAATGGGGAACGGAAGCAAAGAGCAAGGCCAGAGACCTGCGGAATCGTCCGGAACGGCGGTGGTACGCAAGATGTGTTTGCCAGTCAATGGTTGTTTCGATGCTTGCAGATATCTGTTGGCGTCCAGTGCTCTGCCTGGGATGGGCTCTCGCCTTTAAACAGAGAACATGTTGCTCTGTCCTTTCCTCGTCCTCCCTCCGATCTCCCTCCCTTCTCCCTCCTCTTTCCCACCGGCTCCCTTCTCCCGCCTCCACTCCTTCTCTCTCTCATCATATCCCTCCCTCCCTTCCCCTCCCTCTCCATCTTATATATATTTTTGTTTATAGATCCTTCTCTCTCTCCCTCTATTTCTGATGTATAGGTGTATCTCGTTACATCAAATGTCCTTCCTCTGATTCGACAATATCCACTCATGTCGTCCACTCTCTCCTCATCCACTGTTTTCCGTTATCATGTCCTTTGCAGGAAATTGTCTTGTTGGTTTTCCTGCGTGGTTGCAGTGAAGTGCGAATTTACGCAGATGCGAACTACGACCCTCGCTCCACTGGGGTGCTGCCAGACGCAGCACTGTCGCCACTTTCCTGCGGTCCTGCGGTGTCTAAGAAGAACGCGGCCCTGCGTAGACCCAGCCTACTACCCGCGGCTCCCTGTGTGCTGCCGAAAGCAAAATCGTAGCAACGATCCTGCGCCCTTGTGGCCTGGATGGTCCAGTGGACTGCGATTTCACGTAGATCTACACTACTACCCCTGCTCCCCCGGATGCTGCCAAATGTACTCTGTCGCCCCTCTTCCTGCGCCCTTGGAAAGTCCAACAGAGGGTCCCACAAGCATCCAAATGGGATCTCGCCTCCCTGAGTTGTGCTGAACGTCGGGGGCGCGTTGCATACGTCTCTGGGTAACTGTGCCGTTTTGAGTGATGTGCATGTCCTTGCCTAGCATGTCATGATATTGCCCATGTTGTTCGTGTGTCGCTCCTTCTACGCGAGTTGCAGACACTCGTGGTGGGACTCGAAGTGCCCATTCCTCACACATTTCGCATCGATACCCATATTCCGCGAGGAGCAGCCACTACTCAATGCAAGTAAGAGGCGATGGGATGTACGCGCCCGTCCATCTTCTCAGAAGAGATTTGAAACGAATCATTGATATTGGACAACACCGATTCCACTCTCAAAGTGAACAACAAATGATCGCGTAATTGCGTAGTCACCTTTTCCATCAGAGGTCAGACGCATATGATACCTCTACTATCTCAGGAAATACCTCGGTCTGACCGCCGCACCTCAGTTCACTTGAGAGGGGTCGCTGAGGGAGGCGGTGCGGCAAAAGGGGGAGGTGGCGACCGAGGACCGAGGAGGAGGAGGAGGAGGAGGAGGAGGAGGAGGAGGAGGAGGAGGAGGAGGAGCAGGAGCAGGTGGGAGCTGGAGCAGCAGGCGAGGGACCGCGCAGGGCAGGAGCGCGGCGGCGCAGCTCCGGCAGCAGCGGCAGGCCCTCCGCCCTGGAGGGGCCTCCTCGGACCCGCCCTCGCCGCCGCCCGCCAGCTCCACGAAGCGTGCCTCGTCGACCTCTGGAGGAAGGGAGGGAGGGAGGGAGGAGCGGGGAGGGGGGAGGGGAGGGGAAGGAGAGGAGGGAGGGAGGAGGAAACGGGCGTGCAGGCGTATGCGGATGCTCCGGCTCCAGCAGGGCCCCATCCTGGGCCCAGGGAGCGGTGCAGGCGCCCTCTCCTGGCTCGGCCAGGGAGCTGTAGTGAGCAGATCCTGAGCCCAGGAGGGGCCTCGCCAGGATGGGTGCAGGTGCCTCGTTCTCGCCGCCCGAACCTCGTATGCCCGCTGGAACCAGGCCAAGGGCTTGATAGGGCCCATCCACGCCGCGTAGGACGGCGGGTAGTTCGGAACGAACAGCACAGAACGGCCGTCGGACACCCGCAGCGCAGCTCTGCAGCCGGGCTCCTTGACCCCGAAGAGGTACTGGAAATTGCTCTCCTGCTTGAAGTCCCAGACCGTGTCAGTGTCGTAGACCGACCTCTCCTCTCGGGAGCGGCCAAGAGGGGGGTGTCCAAGAGGGGGGGGCGCAAATCATGGCCGGCGGCATGTGCGCGGCCCCAGGGGGGGCCGGGGACGTAATCGAATAAGACGAGGCGCCATGAAATCTGGGGAAATACCATGGCCCACGCCATGATGTCCACCCCCCCCCTAGTCATCACCCCCCTCTTTGCCGCCCCCGAACCTCTCCTCCCCACCCTCCAGGTAGACGACAGCGGAGCCCGGGACCTCCGAGCGCCTGCGCAGGCCCTCCAGCAGCCTCTCCCGGTTGTCCCTGTGCATGGACATGGGCACCCGCAGTGCCCCCTCGCCAGCACAGAAGTACGCCTTCCCGCGCTCCCACCGGATGGTGCCACTGGCCTCCATGGATTCAGCCACGACCGCGCGCTCACGCGGCCTGAACATGCAACCTAAGAAGACGACACCCCTCTGGCTGGCTCGACGTCTCGCGGCGAGCGCTTGATAGAAGGCAACGGGGAGAAAGACATACCCAGGGCGCACACGTCCTTTCCGGCACCAAGCAGTAGCCGCGACGGGCATGTGACCGCCCCCCAATCATGTGTCAGCATTTTGTTTGCGCGGGCGTGTTCACGGGTTGGGACCCCAAACGATGCTAGGAAAGTAACTATTCCCTGGCGGCGGCCACCGCTGATGATCGGGTGGAGGATCTCTGATGATGGTGCAAATGCTGCTGCTGCTGCTAATGGCGATGATGATGATGATGATGATGATGATGATGATGATGATGATGATGGTGATGATGATGGTGATGATGATGATGATAATGATGATTTGAATGATGACGATGCTGCTGATGCTGATGATGACGGTGATTATGACGGTGATGGTGATGATGATGCTGATGAGATGATGATGATAATGATGATGATGATGATGATGATGATGATGATGATGACTATGATTACGATGCTCATGGTGATGACGATGATGCTGCTGATGGGGGTGATAATGATGATGTCGAAGAGGGTGATGCTGATAATGATGACGCTGCTGATAATAATGATGATGGTGATGGTGGTGGTGATGATGCTGATGCTGACGCTGATGCTGCTGATGGTGTTGATGTTGCTGATGATGATGGTGATGATGATGACAATGACGATGATGATGCTGATGAACACGGTAACGGTGATGGTGTTGATGATGTTGATAATGATAGTGATGATACTGATGATGCTGATGTTGATGGTGATGATGATGGTGATGATGGTGAAGGTGATGATGATGTTGATGCTGATGATGGTGATGCTGAGGTTGAGGTTGATGATGATCGTGGTGATAATGTTGATGCTGATGCTGAAGCTGAGGCTGCTGCTGCTGATGATGGAGACGGAGATGATGGAGACGGAGATGGTGATGATGACAATGACGATGATGACGATGATGACGATGATGACGATGATGATGATGATGATGATGATGATGATGATGATGATGATGATGATGATGATGATGATGATGATGATGATGATGATGATGAGAGGGAGAAGGAGGAGGAGGAGGAGGAGGAGAAGGGGAAGAACGAGGAGGGAAAGGACGAGTTTCATTTCCAGTCGAGAGCTTCGCGAGAGCCATCGGCAACATGAAAGACCCATCCGGGCTAAGGTATTGGCCTATCCTTGTTGACAGGGTGGTGTCCTCCGCCCTCCTTTCACGTCCATGACTTTGGCGAAGCCCAAAGTACACCTGCTATCAAAAGGGTGAAGACACGGGCGCTTCCCCTTGCCACCCCCAGCACAACCAATCCTGGCGCCCCTCCTCCCCCATCCTCCTCCTCCTCCTACCCCTCCTCCTCCTCAGAATCATAATCATAAAACGGAGAATCACCGCACGAAGCGCGCACCGAAACGCAAAAACGATAAGAGATCCGGTGCATCGGGGAGATCCTCTGTCCCCCCTCCCTCCTCCCTCCTCCCTCCCTCCCTCCCTCCTCCCCTCCCTCCTCCCTCCTCCCTCCTCCCTCCCTCCCTCCCTCCCTCCTCCCTCCTCCCTCCCTCCCTCCTCCCTCCTCCCTCCTCCCTCCCTCCCTCCCTCCCTCCTCCCTCCTCGAGCTCCCCCTGGGCGCTTCCCGTGCCCGCCGCCAAGAGGAGCCAGCACCGCAGCGGGAAGCCGTGCGAGGACTGGGGCGTGCGCCGCACCGGGCCGCATCGGCACGGAGGCCAAAGCGGACCGCATAAGGCGCGACGGGACGCACAGGGCCGCCACTCAGACCGTCAGCCAGCTAGAAGAAGAAAACTGCAATCAAGCGTCAAAAAGAAAAAAGGAAAGAAACAGCTAGCAAAAACAGAAAAAAAGAAAAGAAACGTCAAAAAGAAACAACAAATCAAACGTCAACTGAAAATCAGAAGCCAGAATGAGAAAAAACGTCACAAACGTAAACTGTTGGCGCTCCGCGCGGGCTTCTTGAATCGGCGCGGGACCTCTCTCCCTGGCGCGCGGAGCGCGCCAGGGGCGGCTCCAGAGGCGCCGCCTGGGGGGCCCAGCGCGGATCCAAGAAATCCGCGCGGAGCGTGGACAGTTTATGTTTGTGGCGTTTCTCTTCTTCGATTCAGACCGTCGGCCTGCATCGTTCAGCATCGGATCGGGCCAGCCCAGATCGACATCGAATATCATCGGTCGGATCGAACATAGCCCTCCACTGGGTGCCCCCCGCCCTGCGGAAGGCCCTTGTAGTTAGACGGCCCAGCCCCGGCCCACCGAAAGTGCCCCACCGACTGGTCCACGGTAGAAGCAGGAACCTCGGCGCCGGTTCATCCCAGTCCAGCCTCCAACTCCTCCTCCTCCTCTTCAATATTCCTCCACTCTTGTTCCTTATCAATGATTTCTCCCCGTCGCACCCCGAGGCCAGCTTTTTAGGGCGGGCCGGGCGTTTCGCCTGAGATCTCCTCACCATCTATGACTCTGAAGCTTAAAAAGTGGCAACGGTTTAACAAATGCGGGTGGTTTTCGAAATGTGGCTCTCGCCTTAGCGCCGCGCACATTCGTTTTCAAAATTTGTAAGGGCTTCACGGATTAAGGACGGGTCGTTTTCAAAATGTGGCTCTCGCCGTAGCGCCGCGCACATTCTTTATCAAATATTTGCAAGAGCTTCACGGATTGAGGGCGGCTTGTTTTCAACATGTGGCTCTCGCCTTAGCGCCGCGCACATTCGTTTTAAACAATTGCAAGAGTTTCACCGACTGAGGGCGGCTGCTTTTCAAAATGTGGCTCTCGCCTTAGCGCCGCGCACATTCGCTCTAAACATTTGACAGAGTTGTACGGATTCCCATGATGAGCGTAAGAAGTGGTGTTTTGGAAAGGTTCAGGATTACGCGGGTGCAACAGTTATGTTGATTCGCGGTGCTGAAGTCCCCATAAAAAGCGTTCTGGCACGATTCCGAATCGTCGAGACGCAGCAGTCAGGTGGATCCGTGGCGTTGAAAATCCCGAGAACGATGTTTTGGCATGCTTCCGGGTCTTCAAACGGTTGTCTTCCAACGGGGCAGTTCCCTGTGAACAGGGAGCTTGGAAGGGAGGGTTAATTCCAACATCGTTGATGACTCTTGGGTTTACACTGGTCCTCCTCCTCCTCCTCCTCCTCCTCATCTTATGTGTTCCTCCTCTCCTCCTCCTCCTACTGTCTCATCCTCCTCCTCCTCGTCCTCCAAATTCCTCGTCCTCTTCCTCCCTACTCCGCGCTCCCCGGTACTTCTTGGTCTAGGGCCATGGAGGCCCCCCGCGCTGCCGTGCCGAAGCGGGGTGCACCGAAGCAGACGTGCGCCATGAGGCAGGACGGAGACGGGCAGGAGAAGAGGGACCGGCCCCGAAAGGAGGACCTAGCGTTACGTCGGGCATGTCCCTCTACAGGGGGAACGTTCAAAAATAGTCAAACAAATACTCTGGGGACGATTGTTTCACTATTTGTTTTTGACTATTTGGGGCTATGTTTTGACTACTTCTTATTTCTTCTTATTTCTCGTCCAAAGCCCGCCTGCAGGGGGACGCGCCCGACCCAAACCTTGCCCCCAGGCGCGGGGAGCCTCTGGATGGCCGTGCCTGGCCGCCGCCCGCCGCCCGCCGCGCCCCAGACCAGCTCGATGCCTGCCCCCACGCGCGCGGGCGAGCGCGGCGGCGCGCACCGGACTGGAAATCTGCCGCGCGGCCGGCGCCGTGCAGCAGGTTCTCGTGGCCCAGTGTGCCCCCAGCGCTTCAGGCCGTGGGGGCCTCCTGCTGAATACTGGGGTTAATTCGGGCGTGTCCCCCTACAGGGGGATTTTCGACGAAAATTAAAAAGCACTCAAAAAATACTCCAAAATTGTCAAAAAACAAAAAAAAACTAAAAAATAGTCTCCAGACTATTTTTGACTATTTTTGAATATTCCTCCTGTAGAGGGACAGGCCCGACTTGATACTGGGGACGCTTTCTGGGCCATGGGCACCGCTGGCAACATCCCACAGGTGTCGGGCACGCGCTGACGTCTACGACGGATCCGTGGATCTGGCGCGTGGGCGCCAGATCCACGGATGGGGGAGGGTACGCAGGAGGCCAATGCCGCCTGATTTGACGACCCGAGCGCGCCGATGCTGCTCGAAAGCGGGACCCAACCCCTAATCCGCGCACCTCAATCGGGCGGGGGGCAATGGTGGGTGACCCAGCTGGGGGGTGAAGCAGAAGGCCCTCAAGGCTCAAGGGGCCCTTTGGGGCCCCTTTGGAAACCAGCCGGGGCCAAAAAAGGGGGCGTGAAGGGCCGCTTTAGGGCTCATTTCTTCACCGCCTCATTTGTGGATAAGCGCGGTCCACTACTCGCGAAGTAGCTACTCGCAAAGCATGTTGTCTTTCGGACGCTTGCGAGTAGGCACTCTGCGAATAGTAGAATTTGCTCGATGACTTTAGCTCACCCGCCATTACCACCCGCAAGCCCTCATCCGCCAGAAAAGATGGTATACTATACCCAAAGGCCTCGTGGGCCGGTCGAGAGCCCTGGTCGTGGGTCTGGTCTACAAAACTCCCTCCCTGGGGCGTGGCTTCTGTCTGGTGAGAGTGACCCCCGGGCGGTGGTGTCTGACAGGGGCGCGGAGGGTACAATGGGGGCTCGGCCGCAAGAAACCTCCGCAAGAAACCCAACCCTGAAATCCGCGATATGTTCAGTGAAAATCCACATGTGTCGATCGAAAATCGTCAAGATTTGATTGGAAGCCCATCGAAATCCAAGAAACCCAGGGCACCCTGGCAAAATCCTACTGGTTTCTTGGCACGCGCCCCCACTGTATGGCACACCAACGAAAACTGAAGGACCTCCGCCCATGCTCTTGCCTTTCGTCGAGGGTGGCACGCGGACCCAGACTCCCGCCGCCATGATTTTGTTCGGAAGGTCGACCCCAGGAGGTCTCGACCCGTTCCCCAGGACCGGTTTCTCGTCCTGAATCGCTGTTTGACGGTCCTGCGGCCCAGTGAGGGCCCCCAGAGGCCGAAAACAGCGGAGAACCTCCCGTCGCGGAGAGCCTCCCGTCGCGAAGAACCTCCCGTCGCGCAAAAC